CCGACGGGGAAGTCGAAACCTTACGTAGTTAGTCGTCGTTAAGTACTGACGACTACCGTCCTGTCCACCGGGGCGGGGGGGGGCGCTGAGGGATATGCAACAATAGTAGTTTTTTCTGAAATTAGATATGAAATTAGAGGGAGATCAAAACCTCTCCCCCATGACCTTCCTTATGTCATCCTGTATCACTGTGTTAAGTTTGATGCTGATTGATAAAAAAACGTATAAGGAACAGATACACACACATATTGACGTTGATATGTATAGATTAATAATATTTTATCATTTACTTAAAAAAAGAAACAAACAAGAAAACACTGTTCATCCGTAACTTGAAAATATATGTATTACATATATATCACTATATTCAGTATTCACTAACAAGTTATGTTAAAAGTAATTACAATTATTTTTTATTTTTTACATAATAGAACACTCCATTTAGCAAGTAATACACTCTTAAGTGAAATTTTGTTAATAATTCGCCGTTTCTAAGATAATGTTGCGTCAGCGAGGTCACGATACTAGTATCACGCCACTTCTTTCTAGAAATATCCTGTTACTTCAAGAATGCCCTAGCATTTACTAGATATGTGTTAGTCTTGTATATATAAGACGTTCACAATGTGACGGGACAACAGTGTAATGAGTAACTGAATGTATGCGGATAAAATATTGTTGGCCACGTGAGATATAGCGTTTGTTATAGAGCGACTGTTGAAATTAAGTGTATCGTAAGTTGTATTCGGAAAGAATAAACCAGTTTTACTTAAGAAAGGACTTGTGTCGCTAAAGTTTCGTCGGAACGAATTTACGGAAAATTAACTAACGAACAGAGACGTAACAATAAATTATAAAGTTTCAGACTGTACTGGTATATTTTTAAATGAATACATTTGTATTGTTATATTTTGTAGCCTAAGAATTGGACGAAGCTTAGTGTTCACTAGCTGCTTTCCCTCTAGTCTGTCATTTCTAAATTAAAGACGGCTATCGCAGATTAACCCTCAGGAGTAGCCTTGCGCAAAATTCAACAAACAAATAACCATGGTCTTTCTTTTGTATAGAAGAATAAATTGTAGTTATTTTTATATGCACGTTTGAAGAAATAGGTTAAATACTTATGATACTGCGTGAAGTTTTGTTCCCACCAAACATGCTCGCCCTTTCAAACGTGAGGCGTTATAATGTGACGGTCAATCCCACTATTCGTTGGTAAAAGAGTAGCCCAAGAGTTGGTGGTGATGACTAGCTGCCTTCCCTCTAGTCTTACACTGCTAAATTAAAGACGGCTAGCGTAGATAGCCCTCGTGTAGCTTTGCGCGAAATTAGAAACAAACAAACAAACAAAAACAAAAGAAGCTTTGTTCAGTTATGAAAAACTATAACCGCAGATAGATCATTTAAAGTTAGAACTAATATTCTGTGGATGAAGTTGGGATTTATGCTCTGTAATCCAGATCTACCATTGTGCACGAGACTCGCGCATTCGGGCCTATTTTCATGCTCATGTGGATTAGTAAAAAAATCTCACGGTTTGGTCAAATTAGCTGCTTGCTAAGAACACATTGTGTTTGGTCAAATTTTGCATTACATTGATTCAGGAAACGCAGCAATTTCCTTCATTCAATAAAAATATTCTGGATTAATATTCCGCAAGACCTCTCATTATAATATTACCTGGTAATTTGTCATATGCAACAGGTTTTCATACTTAACTTTAATTACTGATATAAATTTAAACAGTAATTATTTTGGCATCATTTTAATAACAGGCTATTAAAGTATATGTTTTAGCAAAAAAAAAAAGATTGCTTCTGGGCTTATGATATATGCTTGCGAGCCTTACATCTTCGACTCGAAAGCCTACCCTACTGTTTTTAAACATTAGACTTAAATATTCATAAACCACAAGGATCTTTAACTAACTTATCGTTGTAATATTCTGTATCCTAAACTAAAGGCTCATTCAAGTCTGATTGTTAATTAGTTAATTTTTTTTAACAAGATTGAAATCCACAATCTTACTGTAAACGCAGAAAGAATCTGTTTCGAGTTCCATAATGAAGATTAATACACCTAAAAATAAGGCCTTACTTCGTGATGATGTGAGCAGTAGCGGATTTCAGGTTTTTAAACATATTTTAGATGTTATATATATATATGTTTTATGGTTATTATTTATCTTAATATAAGAAATACTGCATATAAATATCTTATAAACATGTGCCTACAGTTACAGTGACCTTATGAACATGATCTGATTGAAAATAGTCGTTCAAAGTTATGAATGAAGAACATATTGTAATTAGTTTGAAAATGAACCTTTCCGTGATATTTTTTTTTATGCTTTGACTAAACTGTATTTCAACAGAATTCAGAATTAAGGTTTAAACTCCAAAAGATGACGCAGCATTAGAAACCAATAGGCCTAAAATTTGTGATAAAATATATACTGCATATTTATGTAAATAATGTTCAAAGAATGCTTTGTCTCTTATCGGCCAGTTTAACTGTATAGTTCTGATATTTGGACGAAACGCCTCTTGGGAGATCAAAAGTAGATTTCAAATGTTATTTGTATACATCTCCGATTTCGAAGCCGAAATGGACAGTGTGGAAAAAGGAATGTAGAAATGGAAGATCTACAGTTTATGTAACTATTATCACAAGTTCTAGGCCTATAAGAATTCAAAATTGTTGTTTTTTCGAATCAAGATAAAAAGATGTAATGATGAAAAGCCTGCTACATGCACATTTTTGTTTTTTTAAGACTTTTTGTTAACGCGCGCTTGCTTAAGTTTTATTTTTCTATACATATGAAATATACTTTAAAATGTCATACTAAGACTTCAATAAAAAATGTCTTGACTTTCATGAATATTTTCATGGTGAATTATTATACTCTGTTTTTCAAACTTTTATTTAAACTAACACTATCGTTGTTAAAGGCTGAAATGACTTGATGTATTTTTAATGTAATTTTTATGCAAAACATATGTAAAATGTGTGTGTGACGAAATGTTTTTAGTTTCATTTAAAAATATCAAGTTGTTGAAATAGTAAATCAGAAGAATTATTTTCATTTTCGTCAGTTTAATAATATGTTATGCTTCACAAGTCTCATGTTATAGTAAAATTGAAAACGAATAATAATTAACAACTACCACTTTTAAAAGCAATTTAAGAGAAAAAGATACACGATTTCACTCAAATTTGGGTTATTTTTATTTCCACAGTGGCTCAGCGGTAAGTCTGAAGGTTTATAATGCTAGAAATCGGGTTTCGATACCCATGGTGGTCACAGCACAAATAACCTCTTGTACAGCTTTGCGCTTAACAACAAACATGCAAATCATTATTATTATTTCTATTTGTGATGAGAAAGGTAAAGTTAAAAATTAACTTGTGTCTAGAAATATTTTGATTTAGTTGATATTACTCATTTTCATATTCAAGTCACTGTGTTTAAACTATTATAACAATTGAAAGTACAATTAAACGATTGGTAAAATTGTAAACATCTTCTGCAAGCTTAGGGTATTCAGACGTAGCGTGAAAATGGTCTGATAAAGCTATGTCAGTCTTTTCAAGTTTCTAGATTGCAACTGATACGTGTAAATGTAAAGAAAGTCAGAGGCTTAGCCATGTCCTTAGTTGTTTTGCCCTTGTCAAAGGGTTAATGGTGACTTGTAGTGACTTGTAGTGAATTCAAATATAGTTTGTTTGTTTTTCTTTTTTTTAATACAAAATACACATTTTTTTAATGCAACTATATAACTTTTTTCGATAAACAATATTTTGCAAAGCAATCTTTAGGTACTAGCAGTCCTAAAGTGCCCAGTAACAAATATAATCTGTCAAAGTTCGTCCATTATACTAAAGATCTTAATAATAATTATCTCTAACAAGGAACAGCACTTCACTTCATTACCAAGGCAACTAGGTGTCAAATGAGACATTAATATTTTCTCTGATGATTAAACCATCAGGGCACACGAACAACTAATCAACGTTGGGTCATCGCAGACGACAAGCAAACATACTGAACATATGGTTACTAATATGTTCAGTATCAACTAATTTGTGTAAATTTCAAGTTTTTCGAGATTTCTAAAAGCCCGTTTGGAACGTAAAAGCTCTAGCAATCATGTCACCAACAATTACAATCGTTAATATCGGAAATGAATAATAATATGAATGTTTATAAAGCAATAACTGTGTTTAAAGTTCTTTAGCGAAATGTAAGTACTCTATTTGTTTCTAAGTAGGAGAACGTTTTTTTTTTTCTTCTTTCATTGATTATTACCTGACGTCTGGAAATTAAAATATGATAAGAACCCCTTGTTTATCTGTATAATCTACTTTAGAACTGGCAGCGACAGCTAGTTGGAAATAGTGCACTGAACCATGTAGTTTTAAAGTACTTCCAATGTAATTAGATGGAAACTCGCATAAACAGGAGTGCCTACCCACACACGACCATTTCGTGTAGAAGGTAATGCATGTTGCAAAATTTGTTCTTTCTTCTTCAAAGTCAAGTATCGTACTGTGTACTCTTTCCTATTCATTATATACATAAATCATTTGATTGACTAGCTGATTGACTGATTAGTTACTGATACTAGTTGAGTATTCAAGTAAGAAAGGCTGGCAAAAGCAACAATTTTTAGCATCTATAAGAACAACGCAAAAAACTTTTGATTGGTTTAAGGACATCAAAAAATGCTTTTGATTGGTCAGAGATTTCGTTTTGTCACTGGTCATACCTTCTTCGACAACTACGCCCTCTTGAGATGCTTGTATAAATTGTAAACACAACGCTGTTCTCTTGCAAGAGCACTGGAAAAGATTTCCGACGGAAAGGCTGTTCAATCCGAAAAAAAACCAAAAAAACCTACCAGATATTTTCTTCTTCACAGGTTTTTCTGGGGGGAAAGTAAGAAAGTAACACAACCAAACTTTGGTAAGTCTCTTTGACGTAAGTAGAATTATTCATACTGTGCTTTACGTTTATGTCTATAATTGCTATGAAACTTGAAAATTATAGAAAAAGTCTGGATATTTTAGGTAGTAAACAGAAACTGTCCTTTTTTCTAACTAACAACCCCCTTTTCTTAAAGTTTAACCTACTTTCGATACTATGAAAGCTGTGAAGTTTTATTTACATAAAATAACCGTACACTTTTGAAATATATCACGATAATAAATTCGTAGCTAAACGAGTTATCAAATGACACTATCATAGACTATACATACTTGTTTGTCTCGGATTTTCAAACAAAGCTACACAAGGGCTATCTACGCTAACCGTCCCTACTTTTAATCCGCTGTCCAACAGTCAACAGTGCATATCACTTATTCTTGGGCTACTCTAATAGAATGGTGAGTTTGATTGTCACTCTTATAACGCACCCATGGCCTCTAAGCGAGGAGCACAATTCCGCCTCAATGAAAAGCGAACTATCATTCTTTGGGTCCACAGTCTGGCAAGCTAACCATTAGGTTACGCCCGGCCCCATGTATCACGATTTAGTGCTATTTTAGAAAATTGCTTTTACAGTGTTAAAAATGAGATGACATTTTCATGATTGCTTGAAATGAATTAAATGCAATGTAATGAATTTGAATTGTACATATGTTAATGTTATTTCAATGAAACTAAAATCTCAATATAGATCAAACTGATGAAAACTTAGTAGGGTATAAGCCATAGCAGTGTAATATTTTGTTTATTTTAAGGGGGGGGGGTTACAATAGTAAAACTTGCTATACAAGTACACTCGAGCACTTACAACATTTCAATCTACTACCTTCCGGTCCGGCATCACCAGGGCGCTCGACTGAGGGTCGCGGGTTCGAATCCTCGTCACACCAAACATGCTCGTCCTTTCAGCCGTTATAATGTGACGGTCAATCCCACTATTCGTTGGTAAAAGAGTAGCCCAAGAGTTGGCGGTGGGTGGTGATGACTAGCTGCCTTCACTCTAGTCTTGCACTGCTAAATTATGGACGGCTAGCGCAGATAGCCCTCATGTAGTTTTGTGCGAAATTCAAAACAAACAACTACCGTTTCGTCAAGGCGTTTCTTCTGTAAAACGCATCTTAGTAACAGAGAAGCTGAATATCTAACAAGTAACAGCCATTTTCTCGACTTTTATAAATAAAAAGAAGTATGTTATAAGTCAATGCCCTTCTTCAGGTATCACTTAAAGTCCAGGACAAAAGTTACACGAGTAGAAACGTAATGCATACATCGTGAGAGATATTTGAAAACAGGCAAAAATGGCCAAAGTCGCTCTAAGGGATAAGTGGTCAATGAATATTTCAGCAAAATGATCCCGATGTAGGCCATTTGGTCGAAATGTTGACCACTTAATTCCTTATACTTTTTAACCATTTCTTTGTATTTTCAGAATTAAAAATACAGCTTCTCTCTTTCTCTGCCATAAAGTCACAAACATAACGTTATGTCATTGATTAAACATTCTTCACTGTGTCGACATATAAAATATCCCAAATTAACCAGAGTTGACTTGATCTATTTACGTTTTACATCATCATTACTAGAACTTAAATGAATGAATTAACAAGTGTTAGTTTTGAAGTAATTATAGCTTATTTTCTTCAATATTTTAGAAGAAGACATATCTAATATCATTTATTTAAACATAACTCTTTAAGTTTTTTTTTTAATTAAATAGTCTTAAAAAGCTTTATGTTTTTAGGAAAGTTGTCAACGTGTTTTAATGACAGACTTTTCTTCCTCGTGTCACACAGAACTCTGGACTAAATTATCACTTTTATTACTTCAGAATCGTGTCACACAGAACTCTGGACTAAATTATCACTTTTATTACCTCTGAATTGTGTCCACAAACGCTGAA